TACTACTACTACTACTACTACTACTACTACTACTACTACTACTACTACTACTACTACTACTACTACTATAACTACTATAACTACTATAACTACTATAACTACTATAACTACTAACTGCTAACTGCTAACTGCTAACTCCTAACTACTAACTACTAACTACTTACTACTAACTACTAACTACTAACTAACTAACTAACTAACTAACTAACTAACTAACTAACTAACTAACCAACCAACCAACGAACTAACTAACTGACTAACTAACTAACTAACTAACTACTACTACTACGACTACTACTACTACGACTACTACAACCACTACTACTACTACAACTACTACTACTACTACTACTACTGCTACTCCTACTCCTACTCCTACTGCTACTACTACTGCTACTACTACTACTACTACTACGTAATGACCCAGGACCCAAACAGTTTTGCCCGAGCGTCGTAGCACTTGGAGGCTCCAAAGTGTTCGCCCGGCACTCGCTTGACCTTCACGTACCTGCTCCGCTTGAGAGCTTCTGCCAAGAAGGCTTCATTTTCCACATGTCCTTTGTACCATTGGTTGGGAGTGGTCATGTTCTTCTGTTGGAGGCCTCACTCATAATTAAGCTTGCACAAAAAAGGGTAAAACATGAAAACATGTCCGGGGTGTCGGTCCATCCACTGACCAAAACGTCTCCGTTGAACCCGTTTTGGGGGGGACCTCCGTTTTGGACGACCCTTGAGATCGCTGAGGTGGTCAACGACCGGGCACTTTAAGATGTCCATGCAGTCCTCCAGCTTGAAATCCATCTGCTTCACCACCTGACCACAGCAAAGCGGTCCACCACCAGGGCGCGAGGACGAGAGACCGGGGCAACTCGCCGGGTTCAAATGAGAAACCGAATTATTAGGACATCAGGTGAACTTGTGGGTGAAAATGCTTTCTTTGCTTGTCTTCCTTTCCATACCTCTGACACTGCCATCAGAGGGATTGGAAGGACTAGTTGGAGATGAACGGATTTCTATGTTCATCTTTAGCTCCCATCTGCATGTCGGTCGTTCTTTGCCGTGGAACTCCTCCCAAAAAAGAACCATGCACCGCGACAGTCCACCTGTTGAGCCAGCTTGCAAATGGTGAAAATCACATCCTGCTCCTCCAGTCCATTTCCAACCTGTGAGAGGCGATGTCCGGTCTTAAACAAACAACCTGCAGGCAGGCCCTACACATGTTATACTTTATACATATCACAGATATATATATATATATATACACATATTATCACATATATATATATATAGATAGATTATCACATATATATATTCACAAATATTATACTATATTGCTGTAATTTATTGCCCGGTGGAGCCAGTGCCACACGTCTCCCTCCTACAGAGTTTCACTTTGATTTCCTGACAAATCCTGGCATTTCACAGCTTCAATTTGGAGATGGTGATCAACTCGCTCCCCGCATGGGTGCCCCTTGAAACTTTGAACCTGTACCTAGAAGAAAACACCACTTCCGCCATGCAGCGGCCCACATTTCGGTCTAACTAAAACCATCTTTCTCGCGCCAAGCCCAGGGAGCTCTCCGAGCTCTGAGCTGGGGAGCATTCCCGCCGTCGCCTGGACGCAGTAGGCGTGCACCGAGGCCACGAAACGCCGGAAGGAGGCTTCGGCCATCTGATGCCACTCTTGACGATGAGCCTCGCCCTCCTTCAGACCTCGGCCAAATCGGTGAAGGACGAAGGAAGCTGAACGGTGAACACGGTCAGGCGGCGCGGTGGGGGAGAGGAAGGAACACATGAATCCGATCTTTTTCGAGGGAGCGGCGCCCCCGGGCCGGGGGGGAACAGGGGGGGTGCTGCCAAAGTGGGTTTCGGAGGTGTCCGATGTTTGGAGCTTCAGGATCGGAGGTCACGAGTGTCGTCCGGTGAGATGTTCTTTTGGACACAAAAGAGCCAAAAGAGCTCCCGAAAAGCTCGGGATGGAACAAACATGAAAAAAACGAACTCGCGAGGACAAGTCGCTTGACTGGGGCAAGGAGTACACTGAGTATCACGGAGTACACAGGATCGTGCTGTCCTCACATGACCAATTTCTGGGAATCCCCGACCTTCCAACGGATCCTGCTGATAGAAATGCTCCAGGTATTCCTTGGTCTGATCAACACCTGGAAGGTTTGCATCTCCTCGTTCGTTCTCCTCCTCCGATGGCACATCCTCCTCCTCGTTTTCCTCATCGTCCTGTGCCGCCTCTGCATTCTCCTCTTTCCTCAGCACGTGCAGGGGAAACCGGCTGCAGCTTCGCGCAAAGAACAGTTGGGTAGCTAATTATAGCTACAAGCGCTGGGGCTTAGTCACCCGGGTTTGCAGAAAGTCACCCGGCCGCATGTAAACGCAGCATTAGTCAAAAGTCACCCGGCTCGCGAAAAGTCACCCATTTTATGTTAAAGCACAATGTAAACTCTCTGCGGAAGTATGATTGTCAAAACTGCTATACATCAAGAATTCACTGCCCCTGCACAGGAAAGAACTAGTCTTATGTCGAAGTTTGCAGCGCTTTGGTGACCGAACCCCAATCAGAATGCAAGGTTAGGACTATCATGAAGATTGCCCCCAGGAACGTGGTCTTCCATCTAAAATAATTGAGCCAATCATGCCATGTGAGTGAAAGGCAGAAAGAAAAATATAACAATCCCACAACCGACGAAGCATGTCGAATATGACTATATGCTTGCCCTGAATCTGTGATCACTGCAAGAAACCGACCTATTTTTCATAAGATGTTCCACTGATGCTCGAGCTCCATAACCCCAATGTAAACGCAGCATCCAAACAATGTTGCTGACCTGATACTCTTCCAGTTATATTGCCATCTTGATCCATCTTGCATCTAACCCCATTGTGAACGCAGCATCCAGACGACTTTCTACAAGACCAGACGACTTAACACAGGTACGAGTACTATAGTATTTTTCTGCGGTAAAAGGAGAGAAACGCTTCCTGACCTGAATTCTGAATCCTTTCAGACCAAACTCCTCCGAGCAATCCCTCCATATCAGTGAAAGTCTCCCCTGATGTCAGCTAACTATAGCTTCGCTTCCCTTCCCCCCTGCCCCCCCTCGTCCCCCCCGTGTGTTTCGGTTTCACACCACGCTGCCAGCGGTCCATGCTCCGCCCGATCGTGGATCGGTCGATGAGGCGATCGTCCACGAACTCGGTGCAGGCCTCGCACAAGCGGCTCTTCTTCTCGTTGCTGCGGCCCACCACCTGACCGGAGCGACCCGGCCCCGGACCGCCGGAGCCCCAGGAGCGGTCGCTCACCGCTCAACCGCGCTCGACCGCGAAGTGGAGCGGGAAAGGGTTGGGCGGGAAAAAAGGGGGGGGCGAAGAAAAAGGAACACAGTGGTGGACCCCGGGGAGGAAACCACGGAACATGACGAGGAAACTGCCATTTCAGGTGCTGAGAAGTGGCTTCGCAGCTTCGCTCGTGTTGTTTCAAGGATGAGATCCAAGCAGATTGGCATCACTGATTCAAACCGAAAACCCATGCGAATCCACCAAACCAGGGTTCGTCTCCCAGACGACTGAGGCTTGGGATCTGAAGCTCTGCTTTCTCTGCTTCAGCTTTGCTTCTCATTGTTCCAAGCTGCAAGGCCGTCCACCCAATTGGAACAGCACTGGTGACAGAAGATCTGGCCACAGAGCCGGCAGTGGTGTCGGCGCCGGGTCCACGTATTGAAGGTCTCGCCGCAGGCGAAGCACTTGGAACATTTCCTCGGTCCCATCGGATGGTAGATGGATGACGGTTCGGCCGCACTCCTTCGGTCCTTGGAACTGTTGGGGATGAGGTGTGGAGCTTGAAACCCCCCCCTTATGAGGCCGAGTGGGTCTTCTTCCCAGGTGAAGAAACTCCAAGCAAGCGGCTCCATCATGATCCATCAGAACACTAATAGTGTTCCACCAAAAAGCTCCCACGGCGATATTGAGGAGAACACCGCGGGTCGTCGTCACCCCTCCTGCCCGTGCTTTTCTGCGCCCACTTAGCCCAGGCATCTCATCCGGCATCCAGCGGCAGTCGCCCCGACTCCAGGGATCCTCCAGCGATCCGCCCCTCCGTTCGCGAGCGAAGGGCCACAGCCAGGCCTTGAACCTGCGGCCGTGGAGCGGCAAGCGAGTGGCCTGTCGTCCGTCGTACCGAGTATGTCGGTGACTTCTGCGCTCGGCTCGCCGTATTACAGCTTGTCATATTCTTCGTCTGTGCGGGTTGGAAAAGAACGATTTTGTTTCGGAAACGGGCGAGTGTTTGGCAGGAATCTGTGGAAGCTGGTCAACCGCGCAATTCTGAAATCAGAAACCCTAGCCCTAATTACAAAACCTGTGTAAACCTCCCCAAACCTGAGTTGTACGATTCTTACACCTAATAAATATTATCAACCATATGTGTCTTCAATCTGCCACCTTTCTGTGGCACACCCTACAACCATACATCTCCATCCTCATCCCATCCGTCTCCGCCATCTTCCGCCTACTACTGTGAGCTGCACGGTCTTCTGCTTCATGCGTAGAGGAGGGCGCTTGAGGCGGATCCACGAATTCCTGCGGATCCATGAAAAGATCGCTGAAAGCAGCGCAGCGACACGACGTCCAAGTGTGACGTCGAGTTGCTTAGCTTGCTTAGCCTCCTAGTTACGTAAGGCGCCTTGAGCCCCTAGTAACGTCCTTGTTCCGAGTAGTAATGCCAGGAGCGCCCCTATATAGTAGCGTCCTTGCTCCTGTAGTAGCGATGCCTTTTGTTCCTAGTAGTTGCTTCTAATACCTGTCATCCGTCCACAGGAATCCGGGATCTTGGAGGTGACCAGCTGTGCTCGGCTCTTGAAATTCGCCCCAGGGGAGCCACAGCACCCATGGATGCGGCTTAAATCATGGCACCCATGGAATCCATGGAATCATATTAAGTATGGACCTGCGATTTGGTTCAAAGGATGCAAGAAATGGCCAAGAAACTTTCAGAGTTTCATACTCTCAAACTCCCACACGTCACATGATTAAGACGAACGGGAAAAACGAGTCTGTGCGCACGCAAAAAAAACGAGTCCGCCAGTCGCCTCCAGCATCACATAGCCTGGGGTCTGCTGCTGCCGCATGAACTTGATATTGAACTCCACTCGCCGGATATCCAACCGCATATCCAAGTTGCGTTCCACCATGGCGCGAGATTGGCTAGGCTGATGGAGGAGTGGCAGGAAACCGAGCAACCCAAGGCTGGAGTCGAAAGTCTTGGTCAGAATCCGCCGGCCTGCCGGCGTGTTTTGTGGATTGTTGTGGTTGGTATTGCTTGTGTTGGCTTCAATCTACGGTTTGTCTCTCCGCGCGGATTTTTCGACAGCCTGACGCCCCCCCCCTCCCCCCCCCACTGTAGGTAGTGGTGGTGGTAGTAGTAGTAGCAGTAGTAGTAGCAGCAGTAGTAGTAGGTAGTAGGTAGTAGGTAGTAGGTAAAAAGGTAATAGGTAATAGGTAGTAGGTGGTACGTAGTAGGTAGTCGGTAGTAGGTGGTACGTAGTAGGTAGTCGGTAGTAGGTAGTAGGTCGCTGGATCAAAAAATTGACAACCATTGGACTGAGACATGTCGATCGCTGGATCAGAATAGACAACCTCTGATTCGGATTCGTTTCAATTCATTGTAAAACGACTTCGCTTGAAATCAACAGCAACAAACTCTCCCAGCAAAATGTGCAACTCCAATGCACCCACAAGTCTGATTGAGCAGGGTATTGTTGTTCGATGTCATTCTGGGTCTTTCATTTCAAACGGTTTGGAGAAAAAAACGACAAATCATGCCAGATCTAGAAATTCTTCGGTCGCTTTGAAGCCTTCTGTGTGTGAAAAAGAATATCTTGTGCGTGTCGCAATCCCTCGAGACGGTCGAAAAAAAGATCTGAAAAGGAAAACATGCACACGGCCAAGTAGTTTGGAAGAAGAATCGTTTTCAAGGTCATGTTTTGTGGATAGTCTTGGTTCGCATTGCTTGTGTTGGTTTCACTTGGTTCCTCTTAGGTGATTCGACTGAGACATGCCGGTTCGGATCGCTGGATCAGAATAGACAACCTCTAATTCGGATTCGTTCCATTTCATGGTCAAACAACCTTGAAATAAACATGAACAAACTCACCCAGCCAAATGTGCACCTCCAATGCACCAACAAGTATGATTGAGCAGGGTATTGTATCATTAAGCTGCCTGCCAATGCGGGCTCGAGCTGGTGGCCGGCGGCATGCCGAAGGCTGTAAATAACTTGGCAGATCAAGCAGAAGCTTGAAAATGTTTGGAGAGCGAAAGCTTCTCCTGTCTAACAATCTAAGTTGTCTCTATCCTTGTCTATCTATTGTAGGTGAATTCCAAAATAAAAATATGGCGGTGGGGGCGGGGGCAAGCATCTGTTCTGTTGCGCTAAAAATCGGCCGCTTGGCTTAGTTCCATAGACTTCATGATAGCACCTTTTCATGAAGGCCGGCTCGAGGTAACGCGAAGCCATTGATTAGCAGAAAAGAGAGGACGTCCCTCTCAAACAAGATGGATGATGATGGACCTTGGAATTTTCCTGCAGTTACCGAGGAAAGTTGGTCTTAGCCCACAGTGTTCTCTTGAAGCAAGTTGCTGGTCCCTGGGTCAACACCGGGGGACCTTGGATGATCACCCAAAATGAACAAAATAGACACCATGTGTTGTTTTCACTTCAAGACTGGACAGTTGGCAGAAAGCCACCTGTGCCTGCCAGTGCGTTTTGGCGCGAGAGGAAGAACCACATAGACACCCTGGGAGGGTGAACCTACCCTGGTGACCGGGGCTCCCGGTGCCATGATCAAAAAAGCCCCATGAGAGATGGATGTGTCGCTGGTATACCCTAAGGGGTCCCGTGACGATGGACCGGTGCTGGAAACAGACCCTCACATGGAAGTTGAAAACCAAAGAAAGGGGTTTGTGGAGGAATCAAGTCTGGTCCGTCTTCCAGTAGACGTCCATGTTCAGGCTCCATGTGCTTTTTTTGCCGGGTGGACCACCGACCTGTCCTCGTCCATAACTCCATGCACCAGGACATGAACCGATACGGAGGGAGACGGGAAGAACAACCCATGCCTATATGATTCGTATCTGATCACCGCTTTCCCATAGGCCCATAGGCCATAGGTGGTTGTAGTTTGGGAAGATGCGAATTGTGGCAAGCTGTTAATTCTCTGGCTGTAGACCCAACCTCTTCCTTACTCCTCACACTGGTTATATAAACATCTATATTATCTATATAATGGGGGCATGGCCCACGCCCATGCAAAGCGTCTCGCACTTGACAGGGATGGCCGCTTGGCCGCTTTCTCAGAAGTGCCTTCAAGAAGGAGCAATCAAAATTCTGCTAGCTGTTGGAGGCCATCGCTAGTAGGTTGGAGGCCAGCTCATCCGTGTCCACTCCGAACTCCGTACGAATCTGTGTCGACAGTCGACGCTCCTCACTGTTTTCCATTTGTTTCTCATCACTCGTCACTGCCAGGCACTGGTGGGGCCTCAGCATGTAAGGTGGTCTTGCTGCACACCTGCTGAATCTGTTCTAATGTGTTTTTCAATGAGGCTGGCAAATCTCGCAAAATTCACAGGCCTACAGATTGGGCTCATATTCTCCGCTTGCTTTGGGGCACGTTTGATCTGCGTTCTCCTCGTTGCAGCTGAACATCTCTTTCCTCTGATGTGGTGCTGGGTGCCCCAGGCCGAGTCAAAGGCCAGGATCATCAGGATGCATCCCAGTGCAAAGACAGCATCGATCTCTGGTTTCACCTGGTGAATTCTGAAGATTTCTGGGGATCCAAAAGGGGATTCCGGCGATTCCGGAACAAAAGCAAAAGAGGCTTGTCAGCGACCGAAGCAGTAAATCTGACCCTCATTGAGCAACTGGGTGTTTCCGAAATGCCTTCCGGATCCTTCCAGTAGCTGCGATTGTGTACAAGCAAGGACGCTACTAGGGGCTCCTGGCATCGCTACTAGGAGCAAGGACGCTACTATGAAGAGTGGCCACAAAAGCCTCCCTACCGTGAATCGAAAACTTGAAGCCAACACCCTGTTTTCCAAAAACCACCTCTGGAATTTTGCAAAAGATGCTGTTCATCCATGAAACTGGACCCTGCGAACGACTTCCCTTCCACTGACTGCTGTCCAAAGGGCCGTGATGCACCTCAGGCGTTGGGCAGCACATGAGCGTTTGCACTTCATCCACCTTCATCCAATGCACCACTTCCCCCCCAACTCATCCAACAGCCAGTGGATTTGGACAGAACTGGCCAGCGCCGAACCCAAGAATAGGGTCAGCGCCAAGGTCCAGCCGCCGGAATCGGTCACCAAAAACTGCCCTTCTTTTCAGAGAACCTCTCAGGGTGTCGGCCGTGTTCCTCTCAAATGCCCGTCTCAGAAGTCCCATCTAGTCCCATGCCGCCCGTCTGACCCGGAAAGCCACCGTGAGACGCTCCCTCCCGCCAAGGGCACAGGTCGGCTCTTCGACCTTTCGCTCCGGAGGACCCGGGGATCTGCCGGGGGAAACCAACTGGTAGCTCTGGAACACGTCTCGATAGGTCAAGAGATCATTCGGGGCACTGTGCCTGTTGAACAGCAAGTAATCATCTACCTTCGGATAAACCCTGGTCCCAGTACTGCTGCTTACCAGGTTGCAATTCTGCTGCTTCCTCAGGGCCAACCTTTGTATATCTGTTGTGGTATCTGGGTCATAGTCATGGTAGTGAAGAATTGCACCCAACCTGTTTGTGGCCTGATGCCTGCCTTCTGATGTTACTTTAAGCTTCGAGTCACGGTCAGAGAGGGTGGCTTAACTGGAGCAGCTACTCAAAATTAGCATTTCAGAGCAGGTGGCACAATCAAGCAAACATGCTCTTCCCTCTAACCAAACACCACAAACACAAATGCTCCCCCCCTTTCTCCTTCTCATCAGCTCCATTGCCCTTTCTTTGGGTGTGCACGATCCAATCCACCCTTTGGATGTGCTTCCACAAGGGACTGCAACACCCAACAGGTCAGGGGGAGTGCCAGTTTGGCATGCAGCGGAACCCATTTTGAGATCGGAGCTTTGGTAGTTAAAAAATATTTTTTTAAAACCCCAAAAAAAATACTCTCTGAATCTTCCCCAGCAGACCATCTCTCATCATCTTCAGGTGTGCACCATTTCAACCCCACAGTCACATGGCTGTAAATCAAGACCTGACCCCTGCGAGCCACCATCCCATAAATGGAACTCAAGTAACCCCTCGCAGCTGCAAACTTTTGAGAAATTTCTACCAATTGCCCCTGGAGTTCCTCCCTGGCAACCTGCCAAGCCACAGCTTGCCAGCAGCCGCCCCGACGCCAGACCCAATTCCAACTGCTCAGCGCCCACCGAGAGCGCCACTGCCTTGCAGTTTGGGGGGACGGCGACTGTGAAAAGGCTACAGCAAAAGGCCCCAGTGACTCCCAGAAAGAAAAAGGACTGCTCAGTACTGTTAATGAAATGACACTTATATCATGAATGGGAATGACACCAGGTTGGAATCACGCTTCAATCCGCATGTGGATGGAAACCTCGAAGGAGATGTGCACGAATTTGCGGTCAAATGCGTTTGGTTCGTGCAGGAGGTGGTTCCCCGATCTTCTTCGGACTAAACGCCGGGTATCGATGAAGTTGTTGGCATTCTGCTGCAGTGTTCAGGACAGGTGTATAGGATATGGATACCAGTTCAGCATTCATGACAGTATTTGCATTCATGAGTCTGCTGCAGTTGTTTGCATTCATGACAGTGTTCAAATCGGTTCAGTTTGTATCATGACAGTGTTGTTCAGGATCTTCTCGATGCCGTGCATTTTGACCTGTTCTAGGATATGCAAGCTGAAGACCCGATGGTCCCAAGCAATGAACCTCCGCTTTGCTCCAAAATGAGGGAACCCCTAATAAATTCCCAAATCAGCCTAACAGACAGGAAAGGGATGAAAAAGGGGCTCGTCTCCACACCAAACATGGGTCAGAAATGGTCAGAACTGCCTTCACGTGCCGGGCGAAGCCTCTCGTGCGTTGGGTCCGGTTCGTTCCGCGCGGAGCGGATCGGCCCCACACCGATCGGCCCGGCGGCCGACCTGCTCGCCCGTGCCCAGCAGGAAGCGTTGCCGCAGGCACCCCCGTCCTGGTGGTCTGGTGGAGTGGTTGTTCCAAGGAGTCAAAAAAAATAGATAGGAAATGATAAGAAATGGGTGAACGAAGTTTCCTAAATAGGACTAATAGGTTGAAAATGCTTCGTAGCTGAGAAAGGCTTTTTAGATCAGAATTGATCATTGAACATCACTATGCTTGAATGATCAAGCTGAGGGCTAGGTCAACGCTTCATAGGACATCTTCTCCGGGCTCAGTCGGAGTTTAGGGCTGACAAAGAAGTCTCCACATTCGCATCTCCTTCCGTGCTGCGTTGCATGGTGCCCAGGTGCTCTCCTGTGGGAAGGCGAGGAGAGCTTGATTCTTGAAGGCAAAACCTCTGAGCTCAGGAGTCTTGGGCCCCCAACCATCCCATCCCAAAACCTATGCTTGGTTGCTTGGGTCGCCTCAGCACCCCGAACGCTGCAACACACGGAACACGGAACACATGGAAAATCCATGCAGGTTGGGGGTTGTCGCAAGAAAACACCAACAAACATGGTCTGGACCAACCGTGACCACCTTGTGGACCTGAATGAGCTCTATGAAGCAGCGGTGGAAAGGATGGGATTAGATGATTAGACCGGTTTCACACACTGAAAATGTGTTTTGGAGCTTGTGCGTGTCCATGTCCATCTCCAGCAAACTAACAGCAAATCAGCAGCAGCGACCCGCAATTAGAGGTAAGGATCCACTTTTTTGACTCTCAGTTTTGCTTTCTTTGGCTACTTGTGAGGCATGTCTTCTGCACATCACAAGCATAGATGCAACACCGATGGATGAAGTTACGTCGTCCAACCTGGCCGCATCAAGGAGCATATACGTCGTCCAACAAGGAGCGACGCAGGCGACCTCGAGTTCACCTCTCCTGAGTTCACCTCGCCCTTCCAAAGTTCCATCGTCTCGGTGGCGCTCAGCAAGACCTTCCCGGGCTCCTCCTGTCGGACGACGCGGACCTGCAGGGTGGAGGCCGAAGGCTCTGACGAAGACCGAAGACATGCAAGTGGATGGCCGCCCTTTGGCAACACGGTAACACCATGTTCAACGGATGCATGTTAGAGTAACAACAGGGCCCAACAGGGTATCATGAACGAGTACAAACCGGTTGTTATTGGTGGTTGGATTTTTTATGTTGAAAACACCGCCTGCTCCGAGTGGTCCGGTGCATGTTCTCTCTCCCACGCTCGGTCCTGAGACGTCCCAGGCTCCTGCAGCCAATCCGTCCAATCGAGACAAGGAAAGCCATGTTGTTACGAAAAAGGGTTTAGGGTCTGTGCCATCTCATGAAACATGATGTTGAGGACAGAAAAAGAATAAAGCACGCAGCATGCATTGCATTGCTAATATTGCTATCACTTCTGCCCTGGCTGTGGGACGTTCATGGACGTTCTGGGTTTGATATATGGTGGTTGATCAATATTCTTTCATCCTGGAATGGCCATTCATCGCGGAAAAAAAGATATCTTTCGCGGATCTTTCGCGGCCTCATCGCGAAGCATGGTCCTACAACCATGTCTAGCTAACATGAGCCGGAACACGCCATAGTATCACAAAATAGGGAGAGACATCTTGCAGCATGACCCCAGTAGATGGTTGAACGTTTCCACAGCTACTCAGGGTCACTTGCGGCATCTGTGCGACAATTGTGCCAAATAGAGTCAGGCACAACTCAACCCAATCTTCGTGTCAGCTACCAACACAGGGCGATGCAGCTTGGGGAATGTTGGGGGGCCTCACGCTGGGAACCTAGACTTTAGCGGCACATTCGCGAAACTTTCGCGATCTTTCGCGAAACCTGAGAAGCTGCAAAACGAAAGCCAGCGCTTTTGTGGGGCTGATTCGCAGTGCAAAGCCGGGAAGAAGCTATTTCCACTGTGTGTGAAGCCTGATGCGCGCCATACCTGGGAACAGAATTGTAGCTACAAGACCTCTATTTTCAAGGTGGCCTGAACAGAGTGTTTTAGGGCAGCAAACCGTG